ACCTCGCTTTACATGACCAAAATTTTCTTCATCACCATCAGCTGTGAGCTCTTGCTGACAGCAGCTGATAGTGGTGCTGATTCGAAGCTATTTTTGACATGTCACAGGTCACACCCATCTTCGAATCTTCGAAGCTAAGGTTCAGTTGGTCACACCCAGATGATGTCGAAGCTAAGTGCGTATCTCTACAGTATTCTAAGACATTGGAATGACAAACTTTCTACTACATTTCTGTCGATTATAATCAATGTGAAGTGTCTGAGATATTACTACCGATGTAACTAAGTAGTTTTTTGATGCAGAAGTGGTTTGATCAATAGAAATTGTAATCTTTATCTTCAGTCACTCTTTCAGCACGTTGGTCACGTGAAATGTAGAATCCGCACGACCGCTACTGCAGTTTCACATGCAACACACTGTAGAACTCCTTACCGTACATCTGCTATGGGCCACCGGGTATTGGTTGTACTGGACCCTCACTTTTCCAGAGACTCTGCGCTGGAGGCTTCCACGCTGGCAGATTGGGTGACTTATGATTATCCAGTAAAGATGGCTGCCAGCCTCTTCTCCAGTCAGGCACTTCGTGGAAGCGTTTTTCCGGGAGAAACCGATCGAATCATTCGAAAGCGACCAGGATTCGTCCCTGTCCTACTTCATGAAAAGGTGGGAATGTTAAAGAGCGGAAGAAGTCTCAGGCTCATTGCGTTGATGGTAGTTGTTGGTCTGGCTTAGAATCCAACACCGGGGAATGGTCGTGGACTTTATGCAGTTCCGAAAATTCCGGGACTTGATGCTGGCACCAAACCCCAACTTCACCTGGGAATTTCAACACTACCATGCCATATGGGGCGTTCTAGATCTGACCGTGGATCCAAGGCAAGTAGTGAACCTCTCACAAGCGTATAACCTCCTCAAAGTTCTAAGCAGTGAGAAAGGGTGTAGTTTGGAATCCCCGGCCCAGTTGCACCAGTATATTAAACGACTGCAGATGTTGGAATCCATTTTGCCTGTGTGGCCGCCCTCCCAAGAGATGCTGTTCGCGTCCAAAAAATTCAACGTAATCAAAACCTTGGACGAGATTGCAAGAAATACCACCAACTCCCCCCGGCCCCAAACCGAAATACTTTCCCGCACCAATCGCTCACAGTCATTCGAAGGCTTTGTTCTCAAGCGGGAAGGCAGTGATTGCACACGGCACATTTTCCTTCCAGGTACGATCGACTCATTCAACCTACCGAGGGACAAGGGAGGTTTTCGCTGGTTAAAACAGTCATACGTACCAGCCCTGAGACATGTAGGGGAGTTCCGGGTGATTGTTCTGGATTGCCGGCCTTTATGGGTGATACACACCAGCCCAGGGAATCATGAGAATCAGATTGTCTTCTGTCATCGGGATGCTGGTTTGTCCCTGGAGAAAATGAGGTCTGTCTCTGAACCCGATGGAGTTCCCTTTCTGACCCAAATGCACATTTTTGATTTTGACAGCTCACGTCTGCAAAAGCCTTATGGGTTTGATGACATCATGGATCCTGTGGGGGGTACGGTGGAAGAACGTCACCTGGCAGACGCGGAATTGGAATCATTCGTCGTTGCCACCTTGAGTAACCTTATAGCCATCGAGGAGGGTCTACTGCAGGGGACTAGTTCTTTGAGGTTGATGGCCCGAGTAGATCTTGGTGTTCTCCGTGGTTCAGATGGACGGTTAGGTTATTTTGTCAACGAGGTGGAACGGGGAATTATGATTACTTTATTCAGTCAAGGGAATCCCAGGTGGGCTTTGCGGTTGGCAGATGAATTCTCAGGCCTGTTCTCTCAATGGATTGACGATACTTCCCGGGATATGCAGCGAACCATAGAGCCCAGAACCCTAACGAAACATGGCCGGTTTATATTCTCATTAGATAGACCTTGATCACAATACTTACACCAGCATCGGGATGATGATGCTAACTATCGTTCCTTCTAAACAGTCCCCCTACTAATTTTTGCCCAGTTCCTTGTAATCATCGTTTTGATTTGGGCCCATGCGCTATTGCTTTCGTCGTACAATTCGCTGCCTGAAATTAGTAATGTTCGTTTTCACCATGTCGGAGGATGGCCTTCAACGACCTGTCGCCTCCTTTCCCTGGAGAGATACTTTCTACGGTACCAGCTGGAAATATATTGACTTAGATATACATCTTCACTATCTGGTCTTCTATTTGGGATATCTGTGGCGAAAGGGACATTTATGCACCTGTCAAGCCTGTGAGAGCAGCGCTCGCGCGTAGTATCCGTCGAGCTCTTACGAAAGCTCATTTTCCTCATTAAGGAGGACAGGGTCGATTGGAATATCGACAGGCGCTGTATTTGAACGCCCCGCCTCAGGATGTGTGTCGGGCGAGGAAACACGTTGCCTCTTTCGAGGACCTTGTTCTTCACTCTCAGCGTTAGTACCGGTCTGCTCTGTCTTCTTCTTCTTATCCTTTCTCCTCCTTCTTCCGTTAAACATCCGTTTACGCCATGCACGCTTGTTGGCGGTGTTCCTCTCCTTGATTTATTGCGCCCTAGAAGGATCGCGCTTCTCCTTCGCCAACCATCTTCTTTGGCGTTCGCGCTGCTTCTCCTCTGCAGTCATGTCGGCGTCGGTGAGATCTGCGTGATTAAGCCTGGGCTTCTTGTCACCCTGGTTGTGCTCTGGCATTATGTCAACTAGGAATTTCATCAGTTAAGATAATACTAAGCGTTCAAGCTACGATATACGAGTAGGATACTTGCAATGAAAGCAAGTCAAAGTAAGAGGAAAAATGTACGAGCAGAGGGGTAAATAAACAGCTTTAGAATCGGCCACAGACATTACGTAAGATTCCACAACAAATTCTCGTCATTGTACTACGACTTTGAGCAGTAGTAGTGGACTTTTGAGAGAGTATCGTCGATATGCACGGTATGTTCCATAGGAGTTTGATCCTATAAGGAAAGCGTAAATGAGGTAGCTGTAGCGCTGAAGGTTGTTCCTGTCCTCAAAGTCATACTTTGACTCGAAGGACTTGAAGGACATCAGCTGACTTCGAGGACTTCGAGGACATAGTTTGATTTCTAAGCTCGATATAATTTGATTACTCAAAGTTCGAGGAAGGATATCATTTAATTACTCAGTTTTACGACCTCTTAAGACTTCGACGACTTGAAGGACATCAGCTGACTTCTAAGACTTCGAGGACATAATATTGATTTCTAAGCTCGACGACTTGAAGGATATTATTTAATTACTCAGTTTTACGACCTCTTAAGACTTCGACGACTTGAAGGACATCAGCTGACTTCTAAGACTTCGAGGACATAATATTGATTTCTAAGCTCGACGACTTGAAGGACATCAGATGACTGCTAGCACTTTGAGGATTTGAAAGTCTAGTCCCCTGTTTGCGAGGGTTACAATCACACTCTTCAAGGACGACATATCAATGATGTGCATCAGTCGTACTAGTAAATGCATCCGCGACTTCTACCAACGCTCGACATAGATTGATCCATCATCCCAGCTCGATCGGACTTCCAATAATGACGCCTACTGTCACGGTGCTCGGCCCCGCATCACCTGTTCCGCGCCTACCTTCCTCGTGAAATTCGCGAGGGACGTACCATCGACCACACGTCGACTTCGGCGAGCTTAGTTAGGGTACCGTCTTAACTCATAATTTCGAAGAGGATTAGTCCTTGCCTTACCTTCCTCGTGAAATTCGCGAGCATCGTATCACCGACAATACCGCCCGCCACACGCCTCCGTCGCGTCTGTCGGCAATATCGCAGTGCTCGTCTCTTCACCCACGTTATATTTTCCCTCCTCACTCACGTCAGTCCAGAGTTCTTGAAGAATGAGATGAAAGACCTATTCACACTATTTCTCATCACCTATCACCTCTCTGACGATTTTGGGAATACCAATCGCGTATTCCAAGTACCCCCCACAATCAGCGAGGCCCAGTGGTGCTTCAGGACAACGGCTGGTGCGGAGATCTATATGATAATGGGCAGTTCAACGACAACTCATTCGAGTATGTATTCATCGTCTCCACGTATCATACCATTTACTTACCATTGTTCTCTCAGGACTTATCCCGCCCTCGTCCGCCCTTATCTTATCGACGGCAACCAGACGCTGTTTACCTGCCTCCGCCAAAAGATGGCATTTCTGTCGACCCTATCTTACACATTACCTGACCTTCCAAGTAGTGTTACCGCCGAGGCGAATCCAATTGAATCGAGGTGGAAATTTGTGGAAAATCGACACAGATCGGACTAACGAATTGAAACGATTTGCACCTCGTTCACCTCGCGATTTGGAAACGAGTTCGGAGTTATCCAGATCGATAGTCCAACCAATGAGAAGCTAGGGATTTTGCGTGCCCACAATGACCGTTGAAAGTTGAATGACGATTATTTGCAAGTTACTAGTACACGACCAGCAAGTATATTAATTATATTCAATGTCTCTTGCATTCCGGAGCAACTCGTCAAGCTTATGAAGATTCCCAGCAGCCATTAACTTGTCAACTGCTCTGGGAGCCATAGGTCCAGACATCATCTAGTCCCGTTTGTCAGCCGCCAGGTCCTCCTTACAATTAGGGCGGTCTTGCTTGTAAATGAACTTTTAGGACTTGTAATTCTTCAAATGTGGCCATTTGATTGTAGCCCTTAAGTAGATGGGGGTGACACTTACATATTTATTTTATACAGTGCAAATGCAAGTAGCCTGGGGCTGATAAAATGAGTGCCAGTACCACAAGCCTCAGTTGATGGTAAGAGAGACTATCTGAACAAACCTAGTAGAACATGTTATGAGGTAGAAAAGATGTCCTTGAAGTCCTCAAAATCTTAGAAATCAGATAGGCTGTCCTTCAAGTCGTCAAGCTTAGACATCAGATTATGTCCTCAAAGTCCTTTGAAGTCAGATGATGTCCTTCACCGACAGCATGATGATACTAACAAGTTATCACAAGCGACCCAGAAAAGGCTTCATGTCCAAAGCGCTCCCCAAGTCTGGTGCGGTACTGTTGGCCCCATATCTCAGGACACAACTGACAGCATGGTGATACTGACAAGTTATCACAAGTGACCCAGGAAAGGCTTCATGTCCAAAGCACTCCCCCAAGTCTGGTGCAGTACTGTTGGTCCCATATCTCAGGACACAACTAACAGCTAACAAGTTGAATATCACAGATAACCCAGGAAAGGCTTCATGTCCAAAGCACTCCCCCAAGTCTGGTGCGGTACTGTTGGCCCCATATCTCAGGACACAACTGACAGCTAACAAGTTGAATATCACAGATAACCCAGGAAAGGCTTCATGTCCAAAGCACTCCCCCAAGTCTGGTGCGGTACTGTTGGCCCCATATCTCAGGACACAACTGACAGCATGGTGATACTAACAAGTTATCACAAGTGACCCAGGAAAGGCTTCATGTCCAAAGCACTCCCCCAAGTCTGGTGCGGTACTGTTGGTCCCATATCTCAGGACACAACTAACAGCTAACAAGTTGAATATCACAAACAACCCAGGAAAGGCTTCATGTCCAAAGCGCTCCCCCAAGTCTGGTGCAGTACTGTTGGCCCCATATCTCAGGACACAACTGACAGCATGGTGATACTAGCAAGTTATCACAAGTGACCCAGGAAAGGCTTCATGTCCAAAGCACTCCCCCAAGTCTGGTGCGGTACTGTTGGCCCCATATCTCAGGACACAACTGACAGCTAACAAGTTGAATATCACAGATAACCCAGGAAAGGCTTCATGTCCAAAGCGCTCCCCCAAGTCTGGTGCGGTACTGTTGGCCCCATATCTCAGGACACAACTGACAGCTAACAAGTTGAATATCACAGATAACCCAGGAAAGGCTTCATGTCCAAAGCGCTCCCCCAAGTCTGGTGCGGTACTGTTGGCCCCATATCTCAGGACACAACTGACAGCTAACAAGTTGAATATCACAGATAACCCAGGAAAGGCTTCATGTCCAAAGCGCTCCCCCAAGTCTGGTGCGGTACTGTTGGCCCCATATCTCAGGACACAACTGACAGCTAACAAGTTGAATATCACAGATAACCCAGGAAAGGCTTCATGTCCAAAGCGCTCCCCCAAGTCTGGTGCGGTACTGTTGGCCCCATATCTCAGGACACAACTGACAGCATGGTGATACTAACAAGTTATCACAAGTGACCAGGAAAAGCTTCATTTCCAAAGCGCCCCAAAGTCTGGTATAGTCCTGTTGGCCCCATTATCTCAGGACACGACAGAGCGGACGATGGCGTGGGAGTCTAAAAGATTGAAATACACCTGTATTCAAACTCAGATTCAATCAGGAGTGTGTTTGAAGTGGAGCTTCAATAACTGGCTCTCAGTTGTGGGGAAACATTTCGGAACAATAAGTACATGGCAAACCCGGAGTGATGTGTGACCTGTTACCATTCCGAAATAGATCGGCTCTCTATGTTTCAGAAACCATGTTACCATACTTTATTTAGTAAAGGTTGGAACCCTCGCCATGAATATGCCGTCGCCACCGGTCAATTTTTTCCGGAAAAGCGCATCATGACCAGGCAGTTCGTCCGCGCCAAGATCTAGCGTCTGATCCCCTTCGCATTTATCGTCGACATCTTCTCCTTTGTTGTCTTTCCCCACCAGTTGACTCTTACCGCTACCTTGCGGCAGGCACCTTCATATTTTTTTTAGCACTGCACTCTGTATTTTTTTCTTGTAGTCCCACCTCGTGCATACTACTGTCCATATACATGTTCCTGTCAAATATTGGTAGTCATAATTTGTATATTGTATCTTCATCTCGGTACTCACTCAGCTTAAGTGGGTTCATGATCAAAATTTCATGATATGTAAATAACAAAATACTATGAAGGAGACTACACTACACACCCAAGTTTTGTGGGAGAGGGCGGTGGGGTTTGCGAGTAGCGCACCGAGGCCCCACACCCCAACTTGTGTGTTTCTTTCGTAGTCCGTCGCCTAGCCTTCAAAATATAGAGTTGTTACATTGCGGGGTGTGGCGTCGGTAAAATGTACACACAAGAAAGTCGATTCTTGAACAGACTTAATTTAGACGATAGAACTTTCCGAACTAAATAATATTCGGTGAGGGGAAGATCAACTGCTCTACCAGTAATTAACGGTCGGTTTAAATACTGTAGAGTTAGGAATACTTGGCTGGAATTAAAATTTTCGCTTGCAAAGGACATCATTTGACCTCTAAGACTTTGAGGACTTTGAGGATATAATCTAATTTCTAAGCCTGACGACTTGAAGGACAGCCTATCTGATTTCTAAGACTTTGAGGATTTCAAGGACATCATCGGACTTCTAGGACTTCGAGGACTTTGAGGACATAATGCGACGACTTGAAGGACAGCATCTGATTTCTAAGACTTTGAGGACTTCAAAGGACATCATTTGACCTTCTAAAACTTTGAGGACTTTGAGGACATAAACTGATTTCTAAGCTCGACAACTTGAAGGACAGCCTATCTGATTTCTAAGACTTTGAGGACATAATCTGATCTCTAAGCTCGGCAACTTGAAGGACACGACATTGTATACGAGAGACCGGTGCTCCCTCGGCCAATCTTGCAGTACCGTAAGAAAATTTCGATCACTTGGCAAAAACACCCTCTATTTTCTGTAGAAGCTGTGACCTCACCACCATGAATCGGACCAACCACTACAAGACTCTAGTACACCCCCAGTTAAATGCCAGCAATCACATTTCTACGAGTTGTCGTGTGTTAGCCGGTTTGACCTGGGTGTCACCGAATGCCTCCCTGGACCGGTTGGATTTGAATGCACTGCATCGGTGGACCGGCCCCAGAGCTGAAAGACCAGTGGTGATGTTCGACAGCATGCAAAGTCCTGATTGGTATGCCCGTACAAAACATTGGCATCCATGGATACCTCACAATCTAGCTGGGTTTCGATGGCACCCAGGACATGGTGCCCCATCCCTGAGCTGGGATGACGAAGCTGGGGCAAAACAGGATCTTGTACTCTTGGTCAAAATCTTGGGTGCCATCTATCGGGATCTCCGGCCTGAGGGCCCTAAACCTGATAATGCTTATCGCATTAGTGACCTAGATATCAGTCTCCCGCAGTCCCAGGATCAAGCTCGGAATTTCATGCTTTCCACTAGTGGTTATATCCGGTGGCTACTAGCACATCGTTATGATGACGTGGTGGAGTGCATGAAGGCAAGGCTGACTTCTCAGGATCTAGAGCGGATGCAGGCATGGAGGCTGGACTTGCCTGGAGGAGTGGGTGTCATTTTGGATCTGGTGCGGGACCGGAGAGAAATGAACATAGGGTTGTACGTCCGGCATGGTATTCCAGTCTACTATCCTTGGACCGTATCTGCAGTGGATGATCCCACCTTGTATTGCTTGTCCCCCTCCTACTTGTTATCCCAACCTCACAAACTTGAAACTTCCTTGCCAGCTCCAGGTGTGGACTTCTTTTTCCAGCCGCTCATTCCTGGTCAGCAGGGCTCAGCCATGATAGCCCAGAAACTACCCCCTCTCCAGCACAAGGTGGTAGACTTTGAGGGTTGGCTACCCCGATCCATTTCTAAAAAGACAGCCCGTCTTTGTTTCCAGTCATTTTATTTCGAGGAAAGGTGGGATCAGGCCCAGTCAGGTCGGCTGCGCATCTACCATCGATTTAGACTCAACGCCAACTCTAAACCACGGGCTGCGGAGCCTGATGTTCGAGATGATTATATCCGGGAGAGGTGGAAGTTTTGCCACGCTCCCCCCTCTGGGCAGTTTTATGACACTTCCACTCAACAGCTGATGACCGGAAAATCCAGTGTCATGCTTGCTGTGCAAGAAGACCACCACTCACCGGTGGTGATACTACCGTCCAGGCCCAGACACACTGAAGTTGCACCTATGTTTCTGCCTCCCGCCCATACTATCTCCCCTGGAAATTCCGTGGCGGAGGTACAAGTTCCCCCTGCTGTGGATTCTGATGCAAAATGGAAGGAAGTTGCGATCACCGTGGAATTAGAGGGCAGAATGCAGACATTTGTTTTGAGGCTCCACCCCTTGTACATGCCTGATGAACCTGGGGCATGATTGCATTGGAGGGACATTAACCACATATGCAACTTGTCACAGGGTCAATGGTATGTCACCCGAGCACTGATCAGGATGGAGCTAGCTTATACCCAGTTGATGTACTGCAGCTTGTCTTGCTACTTAGCTTAAATTTTAATGTAGTTAATTTGCTGTGTTCTATGTGACAACTTCATTCAAGTTTATTGATTTCAATATCCAGGCTGATAATCAGTGCCTATACTCAACGTCCTGGCAGCCCTTGATGATTTCTCATTTAGACATCTCACAATCACCACCACAGCTCTGAAAGTAGCCATTACATCTGGTCAAGTCGATCTCACTTTTGTCGAGCGCTCACACACACGTGCACCGGCTGCGCTTATGCTATGCAGTTTTACATCAGTTCATCGACTACGTGCTGCATGATATACATCGCATAACGGCTAGCACTCTTTTGTTTGTGCAAAGTTTGTGACATTATTAACCCCAAAGTTATAATTCGTTGGGGCAGCCCTATCTTCCTAAGTACTAGGGGTTCGCTGTGCGAACTTATGACCTTGCGACTCGAACTTTTTTATCGCAGGGATTTCTTTGACTGTACAGGAAGCTATAATTTTAACTACCGCTTCAGTGCTCCGCAAGGTAATATGGCCTGGGGCCATTTACAAAGGATTACGATGCATGGATATAAAGTGCACAAAATCTGAATTTTACTAAATACTCTCGAACCGAATGAAGTTTAACTCGCCTCGAGTGGAGAGGTTAGAGTTTGGGCTGCTTTTGGAAGCTTAAAAGTGCACATGATTTTACTTTGCATGTGGCAACTCGGATGCCGCCCTCTTCTCTCGACTTAAAAGGACAACTAAGACTCTGAGGACAGTTTCACGACTTCCGTGACTTCAAGAACATCTAAGACTATGACTAAGGACAATCTCACGACTTCGGGGACTTCCAAGGTCGTCCAAGACTCTTAAGACTCTGCGGACAGTTTCACGACTTGCGTGACTTAAATAGATTACAAGTTGCAGTGTGTTCATGAATTATGTACTGTGCAGTCTCGCAACTTCCGCTACTGGAATTAGATATAATACTCCGAGGGCAGTCTCGCCACTTCAAGGATTTCAAGGACATGTAAGACTATGAGGACAGTTATCACTTCCATGACTGTAGAATTTATCACATATCCGGACCAAGTCTGCGTGCTGAATCCTAAATACACAAATGCCCAAGCGTGGTCTAAGTGTCCAAATGGCACTCTCGGACACTTTGCAAAGAAAAGAAAAACGTTCTTTCTACTTCGTACTTACCCCGTTTTATAATGTCTACATCCTGAATGTTTTCGCGGCATCATATTGGTACTCCGAGCTCGTTGGTGCTGAATAGGCAAGTCACACACTGGTCACACCACGTGAGGTTTACAGAAACTGTTTTGCGTTTACCTTGGTAGGCGGTTGGGTAGAAACTTGTTTTTGACTGGGGGCTCGGTCGCCTTATCCAACCATATAATTAAGGTATTGTGACAAATTTGGTTACCGAGGTTTTATGTAGTATCTGAACTGTACAGGCTGATCTTCAACTTGCCAGTTAATGAAATGAGGAACGTTCTGGTGGTACTGGACCCGGCACGGCAGAGGACTTTGCATCAAGTGCAAGAGAAGACCCCCTATGACTGGACAGTAACCAATCTACCTCACCGGGAGGCAACCTACCTGATGGGCATCATCGACGTCAAGGGTCTCATTTTTGAGGTGGAACACCTTGAACTGCCAGACACAGATGTTCCCGCTGGTCACAGAAAGGTGTACATCAATGAAGTGGTAAGCTGATTGTCCCCGGTATACAGAGTTCTACCTAATCTCTGAGACAGCTGTTGATGTGGCATACGATTCACACCTCACAAGACAACGACCTCCGGCCGGTTTATATGGAATTCAAAACTTTTACCGGGATCATACAGTTGAGCATGGAGAACCTCCGGAGGGTCATGAG